TCCTCTGCTGCGAGGTACTGCAGCTGCGCTATGCTGGCGCTGAAGCCCTACTGCTATCATCGACTACAGCTACTGCTACGAAGAGTACCTAGTGAATGCGTGAAGAATGCGTGTCTCAAACTGAGGCTGACCAGCTATATGTAGTGCTGGTCCGGCCTCAGGCGTGGCCTTGGCGCCTAAACACGGCGCCCCCCAAAGGTATTGTGGAGGTCTGGTGCCTAAACTGGTGCCCAAACGGTACGGTGGCCTGCGGGTGGCGCCCAGGGCCTGTGCCCTCTGGAAATGGCGCCCAGGGCCTGAAACGGCGTGCAGGGCTTGTGCCTCCTGGTGGAAATGCGCCCAGGACCTGAAACGACGCCCAGGGCCCGTGCTCCCTGCTGCAGGCCCAATTGGGCCTCTAACTGGGGGCCTGGCGCTAGTGAAACGACGTGCCAGGCCTGGTACTACTCGGCCTACTGGTCCTGCTAACCATGCTAACCCTGCTAACCCTGCAAACCCCCTAGGCCTATGGACCGGGTCGAGTGAGGGGCCCGTGTGGAACAGAGAATGCCACACACTCCCCTCCTTGAAAGACCGAGCTTTACCTGCGAGGGCGAAGCTGTCTGTCGGAGGAAGGGATCGAAGTCCGGGTGGGAGGGGCAGGTTGTGCAGCTTCCTTCGCTAGCCGTTGTCGCTCGTGGTGGGAGTAGATCAGTGGTGTGGATGCTTGCAAGTCTGCGCGTGAAATCCACTGTGTCGTCGTGGTCGCAACCCTTAAATGTGACCTTGTACTGCATCGGCTTGTTGTCATACTTGCGGTGGGTGACGATGCGATTGATCTCCTGATGACCATCCATGGAAGGAGGGTCCTGCGATCGTCGGCCCGGGAAGTCGTCGCTCTTGGCTGGTGTGTACGTAAACAGCTTGGAGGCGCGGAAGACCGGGTGGACCGGAAGATGCGGCGGGATGTTGATCACAAAGGATGGGCCATCGAGCTCGTCGCCCTCGGATGATGTGACGGTCCATGGTCCAAACCACTTGGGGAGTAGCTTGCGCGAAACATCTTGCTCGAGCGCAAACTCTTCTGTGGAGACCCAGACAAGGTCACCGGCGCGGATAGGACATGGCATGCGACGCCGATTGGCTTGCTGCTGCATGCAGACTTGAGCCCTTTGCATGTTGCGCGGGCTTGGGGCAGTAAGTCCTGGTACTTCCGAATGGAGGCGAGAGAGCAAGGGGCGTCAATGTCGGCAGCCTGTGGGAATACAAGATCAGATACGGCCTTTTGGACCACCATGGTGCAACTCAAATGGAGTCACGCTGATCGCCAAATGCAATAAAGTGTTGTAGGCGAACTCGATGTCGGGGAGGTGGTCAACCCAATCCTTCTGGTCCGCACGGATGAGCATACATAGCATCATTTCAGCGGTTCGATGTGCCCGCTCCATTTGCCCGTCCGTTTGTGGATGCCGAGCCGAACTCGGTTTCATTTCGGTGTCGGACTCCTTCATGAGGGAAGTCCAAAATGCCGACATGAAACGAGTGTCGCTGACGATGTCCTCCGGAATGCCGTGGCTGAAAATCCAGCCGGTCTGCAAGAATCGCGTGAGCTCGGGAGCTGTGGCGCGATACTTGCAAGGAAGAAATTGCGTGTACTTCCTAAAGCGGCCAACGATCGTTAGAATGTCGTAGTGCCCGAACTGATTGCGGGGGAACGGACCGGTGACGTCCACAGCAATGGAGAGGCCGGGTTCCCGAGGGATAGGCAACAGGCGCAACTCGCCATAGGGGTTGCGGTTGCGGGGTTTGCTTCGTTGGCAAACTTCGCAAGATTTGGAATACCGACTGACATCGGTAATGAGGTCGGGCTACCGAAATCGTTGTCGAAGTCTTGCGATCGTACGGTTGACTCCGAAGTGGCCGGCGAGTCGCGAGTCGTGGTAGTTGCCAAGAAGGCGAGTCCGTAATCGACGGTCTTGTGGGACGCATAGCAAGTTCTTGCCTCGTGAATGGAGAAGCAAGTAACCGTCGACGATGCGGTAGTGGTTGGTCGGCGGGTGATCCGAAGAAAGTTGCTTGTAAAGAGTGGCGTCTTCGGAATCGGACTTGCATGCGCGTACAAATGCTGCTGAAGGTCGTCGTCGAAGTTGAATGCGTGATGGATTGCTGCGCAAAGATCTGATCTTTGTGAGAGAGCATCTGCGGCTCGGTTGGATAGACCCGAAATGTGCTTCAGTGTGAAGTCGAATAGGTTGATGAAGTACATCCACTGAGCAACAGTGCTACTCACCGTGTCTTGTGTCTTGTAGTAGGTCAATGGGTTGTTATCCGTCGTTGCCCAAGTGAACCTACGACGCCCGAGGAGGAAGTTTTGCCAGCGCTCAAGTATCGTGACGAAAGTGAGCAACTCCTTCCGCGCATCATCAATCGAGTTGATGGGTGGCACCTTTTGGCTGGAGTACTCAACTGGATGCCAATCTACTTCGTCATGTTGTTTCAAAACTGCACTAGTGCCATAGCCGGAAGCGTCTGTGGTCACTCACGTTGGCAAGGTGGGATTGTAGATACTCAAGACGGGAGCGAGAAGCAACACCGTCATCAATTTTTGGAACAAACTCCGGACTTTGTCGGTGATGGGGAAGAGCACTTTTGGCGATTGTATTTTCGACAAAGGTGCGGCGATCCGTGCGTATCTGCCGATGAAGCGTTGATAATACCCGACCAATCCCATGAAAGAACGAACTTCCGTGGTGTTGGTCAGGTCCGGCCAATCTTGAATGGCCTTGATCTTGTCCGCGAGCGGACAGAGTCCCTGCGGCGTCATAAAGTGGCCTAAGTACTTCAGCTCTTGTTGTGTGAATTCCCACTTGGCTCGATTGGCCTTGTACTTGGTCGTACATAACCTGTGCAGAACGGCGCGTAGATGCGCGAGGTGCTCGTCCAAAGTCCAGCTATACACCAAAATGTCGCCGTAGATGAGCACGAACCGGTCCAACATGTTGCAGAATTTCGTCATCATTGCCACTTGAAAGGTGGCTGGGGCATTGGTGAGGCCGAATGGCATTACGACCCACTCGAAGTGCCCGTATTGCATTTTGAACGCGGTCTCGTACCGATCTCGTGGATGGATCTCAATTTGGCGGTATCCCAACTTGAGGCCCGACTTGGAGAAGTACGTGGCGCTGCCCAAACGTTTGAGAAGATTGTCGATTCGCGGGAGCGGGACAGCATTCTTAATGGTTTGCCTGTAAGTTTGCGGTAGTCAATGCATAGTCGCAGTTCCTTGTTCTTCTTTCGGACGAAGAGAACGGGTGCACCGTAGGGCAAGCAGCTAGGCGAATCCAGCCCTTGGCAATGAGGTCGCCGAGTTGCGTTCGAAGCACTTTTCCTCCTCGCTCATGCGGTAAATACATCTGCGCGGAGGTACGGCCCCGTCTTCGAGAATGTTCTCGTGACGAATTGGCCGATCTGGTACGATTCCAGCGGGATTGGACATTCATCCGTAAGATTGAACTTCGTCCATGGCTGGTTCGGCTGTCCGGCTTCCGACACTGGTTTCGCCTTCTTCTTTCGTGTGTTGTTGCGTCGCGGCGGAAGGGCGTTGATTAGGTCTCCTTCACTTGACGTTGGAGTCAACACCGGGTCTTCGTTTTGTCCACTTGATTGGACTGCAGCGACGAGCTGCATCCGTTGTCCTTTACCTTTCTCCACAAAATTTGGCTGGCCTTCCCGTTCGTTGGTGGCACACCGATTGGTTTGGACGAGGGAGCGAGCTTGAGTTACATTTGTGTCGAAATCTTTGTAGTCCTCCAGTCGTCCAAGTGCTTGGGTCAAGGAGTTGACCGATCGTTTGAAAAACTTGCGTCTAACGTGTGTGAAAGGTATGTTCAGATCCGGAATGGCAACGATCTTTTGCTATTCGGTCAACCATTCATGCGTCCGCTGGCTCCCTTGGTACATTTGGAAGACTTTGTTGATGCCCTTGGTGACCTCATCGTGTACGATGAACTGTGCTTTCCACAGAGCTTCCACTGTGTCCCAGTCCAACTTGGTGTGCAAGTGGTCCATGTTGACTCCTTCCTTAACTGCGAGGTGGTTGAGCCAGACTTGGCACGCACCTGTGGTGTTGAGGTAGAGTGTCACGAGCTTAAGGTGTTCCGGGACACTGCGGAAACTTAATTCCGCAGCCTTGCCACCATGCAAGTGGGTCCTGCTTGGTGTAGTCGTCGAACTTCTCAATGTTGAAGTTTGGCATCTTGTACGGACGCGGGGCGCCGTTGCCGGCTGGTTGCTGCTGCATCGCGAGGACGTCGGTCTTCAGCATGGTGAGCTGTTGGCTAATCGTTGCTGGTCCCACGAACGTGTCCAGGTTGCCAATTGTGGCGACCACATGGTCAATTAGTTGCTCCAGCTCTCGCGTTGATTGCTCGCTGCTACTAGGTTCGGCGTTTGCTGAAGCGGCATCGTCATGTTCCAACTGGTCAAGACGCGGATTGAAGCTGCGATTCGTATGACTCTGCATGTCTCAAGTTTCATTGATGACACGCTCGAGCCTCTGTAACTCGTGCTGCTGCCAATTGCAGGTCAGCAGGAGTCTCGCAATGAGCTTCGAGATTTCATCCTTTGTCTTCTCTTCTGCCGACGGTTGGCTGTGACCGTCCATCGGGGCAAAATGCCAACCGCGCAGTGTGGCTGCGTACTCCAGCTCTTGCTGCTGCAGGCTTGCCGAAGCTTCTTGTCGGAGGCGCTGGACTGCATTTGCTGCTGCCGACGTTGAGCTTCAGCGGCTTCCTGCTGCCGCCGTAGCAATTCAGCTGCGGCCTCGGCCTGCCGCTGTTCCTCTTCGGCCACCAGCTTGCTGAAGGCGACGATGCGGGTGGCAAAGTCCGAGATGGACTCGCCGGGCTGTTGGCCTGTCATGCCTTGGAGTATGGGACTTCCAAGTCCCTGTTCCCCACCGGAACTGCCAACCTGTGAGACTACGGCACCTCCGGCGGCGGCTGACGTGGCCATGGTTGTGGCCGGTGTCGGCTGCGGTGTCTGGAGGACTGGTTGCGGTTTTGGCTCCTGCGGGAACAGCGCCCTGCTGTTGAGCGGCGATTCTAGACTGCACCTGAGCATTCAGGCTGCTGACGTGGCACTGTGTTGACATGCCCCTTGCTGACGTGGCTCTTGCTGATGTGGCAGATGCTCACATGGCACTTGCTGACGCAGCAGATGCTGATGTCGCAAAAGCTGACGTGGCACTTGCTGACGCGGCACTCACCCAGCCGAGAGAAAACAAGAACAGTAAGGGGAGAGGGAAACAATGCAGGCAGGCAAACAGACCAAACTGCAATGTCCAATCCCGTACGCTGACACTAATCAACAGAAATTTTAAAAAAATGAAAAAGAAAAAAATTGTCTTTTTTTATTTATGTCTGTTGATTGTGTCAGTTAGGCATTTGTCAGTGGGTAGTTAGATACCCAGTTGACAGGGGAGGCATCAGCAAGTAAGGATAAAGAAATTTTGTGAAAATTCGGAAGAAGATAATTTCGGAATTGCGTATTTTTCAGCAATTCACAAAAATGTGAATTTTTGGAAAGTGGCCAGATGTGGAATTTTGGAAATTTCGAACTTTTCTGTTTTTGCGAAAACTAGTTACTAAATTTGAAAAATACCGCAATCTACTACTTTGGCTTCGATCCGAGGAAGAAAAAAAAACCGGAATTCTATTTAAAAAAAACCGAATTTTTGGGCTAATCTCGATTAGCTCTAATTCGAAATTGTGGATTCTGCAGATGTCCGGAATTCGCGGAATTTGCGAATTTCTGAAATTTGCAAGATTCGCTGGATTCGTGGAAATCTTGGAATTCCAATATTCGCGGAATTTCTGGAAGTTCGATGCTTCCCTGAATACGAATTTGAATTAATCAAGAAAAAACAATTAACTAATCAATCAATCAATCCATCCATCAATCAATCATCTAGTCAATCAATCAATCGATCAATCAGTCAATCAATCAATCAACCAATCAATCAGTTAATCAATCAATCAATCAATCAATTCACCGATTGACACCATCAAGATGGTAACTTGATTGGTCAGATCCTCATCTGAGAGATCTGCTCCTATACCAAACTGTCACATGCCAGAGTGGCGCAGAGCAGAACCAAGAACCGACCTCTCAAGTGGAGGCTGCACTTTTTTTTTTTTTTTTTTAAATAAAAGAGGCTGCATTTCTTTTTTTGTTTCTTAAATAAAAGAGCGGCGGCCTTGAGTTATCATCATTGAACTGGCTGGCCCCAGGTAATTCAGAGTTGTCGTATTTTGCTCCTCTGCTTCCAGTGGAGTTCGATCTCAGGTCTGTATTTCAACAGTTCTTTGTCTACATCCGGCCTGCATCTGGTCAGGTTTTGGGCCCTACATTCGTTGTTTGTTTAGGGTTCGGAATGGCGATTTTACCTGGTCGTCTTCCTGGGGAAGGTGCGTAGTCTCGCGGCGTTGCAGGTGCATGCATTTCGGCCCGGGTGCATCTGTCATCGGGCGGTTTTACCTGGTCGTCTTCGTGGGGAAGATGCAGAGTCTCGCGGTGTTGCAGGTGCATGCATTTCCCCACTGGCTGGGGCATGTGCGTTCTTGGGTAGCTTTTTGGGTGGATGTGGTCGCGATATGAGGCCAGATGCTCTTTTGGCCCTAGTGCATCTGATGCGTTTTCTGCTGCGCCCGCTTTCCTTTGTTCTCACGCGGTGTCTGCCCTCACTCGAGCATGGATACCTGGGGGGGAAAAAAGGTCGCAAAGGTTGACTGGTGGTCCGTCGGTTTTACCTGGTCGTTTTCCTGGTGAAGGTGTCTTCGTTGCCATGCTCAACATCCGTGCCGGTGGCGGGTTACTGTCCTCTTCGTTGCTTGGGCTGGTATCGAATTCCGGATGATCGAAGTTTGCGGTGCCTGCGGTGACTGTCGCCTAAGAAATGCGATGATGGGCTTAAAAAAATTGCCCGGGGCGACGTTAAATAACCTGCCCCGATCGGTGCTTTTGTTTTGGCTGGATTTAGTCTGGTTTTGGGCACGGGTGCATCTGACGTGTTTTCTGGTGGGCCACTTTTTCTTCGTCCTGGCGTGGTGTCTGCTCCTGGTTGAGCTTCTGTGAGGAACAAGCCCTCAAGGGGCCCTATCAGACATCACATGTTCTGGGCTAAGGCCCCCAGCAAGCCAAGTGCCCGCCCTAAGTGAAGGCGGGCCTGAATATTCGTCAGAGGCTAAAATTCGACATTTCCATATGTGGGTATTCAGGCTCAGGCAGCATGCCAGTTGGTTGGGTAGACGTGTGAGCCTCACAAAGCTGCGTCATACAGTTGGCCCAGGCCTTGACAGTTGCGCCTGGGCACATAGACACAGAGCAGCGCCGATACATTGGGAAGCAGGCCATCGGCCTTTGCAAAAGCAATACTGCTGATGCACCTGCCTGGGAGCCCTGCACAGATGCAGCAAACAGCCCAAGTCCGGAGACTCAGGCCGTGCCCAACTGTAAAATGGGGCCCAGGCCCTCAACTGTAGTCTCGGGCCTGGGTGCAGGGTCTGAGGCCCAACCGGAAGATACTGGAAGCTTCCAGCCAGGCCACACCCAGCATCCAGTAGGCTGCCACTTCGATAAAAGAAGGGAGGCAGCCTAGGCCAGGCATGCTGGCCAGTGCAGGCAATGCGGAAGTGCTGCTGCGTTATCGCTTGATGCTGCGCTGCTGCCAAGGGCGCTGACGGGGCGCGTAGTGGTGAAGTGGGGCGCTGCAGGGCAGCGGGGCGCAGGCGGCCATAGCTGGGCTGCTGGGCGCCAGGGGGTATAGCGGGTGATGTGGTCTTTAGGGAAGGAGGCGCAGTGTGGGGTAATCAAGGTCTGATCAAGGGTGACGACATACGTACCTGGTGCATGAAGAGAGGTCGGCTATGGAGTTGACAGTCATGTACATTGGTCTTCGAGAGTCGAAGTGAGCCTGTTGCGTGAACCAGCTGTAGGTAGGATAGTAAGGCAGAGTAGGTTGGGCACTGGGCGCCAGACAGAGAGGAGCGACTTTGGATACTGTGTTGGTGTGGCTACGGGCTTGAACATTGGCTCATTAATTCATTGTATTGCTCTATATGGATGGTTACTCGGTGCATTTTGTACTCTCTGCTGGATACGACTACCTGGACATCTGTGTGATTTCGCAACATTGGTTTTCTGTATATCATTCACACTCATATTCCTTGCACTTCGGGAGCTTGGGAAAAAAATACCTCGCACGGGTGCTCCGGCTGCACCTTCCGCAAATTCGCATGCTACTTCCCCCCTTGCAAAAAAAAAAAATGTTCCCGTATGTATGACAAAGGTCCTTTGTGTTCCTGGACTGTTTTAACTACGCGTCATTCTATTCCCATTTCTTTTCCCTCGCCGCTGCATTCCATGCACCTGCTTCCCCGGGCTCTTTTCTAATACTCGAAACATATTTCTGTCGTGAAATATACTGATGTTTCTATGCCATAACCCTTTGAGCCGACGGCAGACCAATCACTCTGACAGTACAAGATAGAAAATAGGTTTCGTGGTGTAACAACTCATCTGCCGATGACTCTAACAGGTCAAAATCCGGCTGCACTTCCGACAGGGTCCATTTTGAATGATGATGCCTCACCGCTGCTTCCCTTCGTAATATTGGGGAGGCAAAAAAAAAAAAAAAAAAAACGACCGCACATTGGGGCATGAGCCGTGGCGTCACGGCATACTGAGCTGAAGCAGTTTGCTGGGGCTCATCTCCCTTCTATTACAGACTAGCCTGCATCGATGGGACTCCGATTGCGTCTGCTGCTGACTTAAAAAGTCCCCTGTCTGCCCTGTTTTTTAAGGCCCCGGCTGGATGCTTGTGTCCGGATTTAGGACCGCAGGTGTGGCCCTTTCTGCACAACTGACGAAAAATGGGAAAATTCAGCTACAAGGTCCGAAGATGCACTGCCGTATCTTTCTTCTTCTGTGAATTTGGTGAGTAGTGTGGTCAGGCCTAAGCCCCCCGGAAACAAATGGGAAAATTCAGCCTCTGGATCGCCAGTGGCCGTCTTTCTCTTGGTGGGTCGTCATCGGTCTTGATTTTCTCGGTGTGGGCACGTCTGACCTTATGCTACTCTCTACTCCACCCTCAGCGGGTCACGACCCTGTTCTGTACGCGATGCTGCTCTGGAGTTCCAATTCAACGCGACACTTCTGTGTGCGGTATAACCCGCAGTACTCTACATTCTACACCGAACTCTACTCTACTCTGCAGCCTCTGCTCGACACCCTCTACTCCTGTCAACTCTTTTCTTGGCGGTGTGATCTCTGCTGTGTGCTGTACACTGTCTACACATAACGTTGTCTACTCTCACCTATCCTACTCTCTACTCTCTACTTCTCTATATTGTAGTCTGCTCCGTATTCCACTGTACTCTCTGCTGCGTCTACTCTTCTCTCGCTGTACTGCAATCTCTACTCTCAGCTACTCTCTATTGTCAGCTACTCTCAGCTCTCATATCTACTGAATTGAATTACTCCGCCTGACCCTTTTGGCCGCGGGCGGAGCTGCGCTGGCTAATCTTGTATGTATGTATACATATTACATATATGATATATAGGCGTGATCTCTACTCTTCGTGAGAAAGACACTGAGCTCTATCAACAGGAAGGTGTTCGACGGTGCTGGATCGTCCAGAGTGCCGATGAGGTGGCGATTGACCTGAAAAACAATGTGTCCTCTCTACGTGGCCTCTCTCCTCTCACGGTTGTGCGATTGACCTGAAAAACAATGTGTCCTCTCTACGTGGCCTCTCTCCTCGCACGGTTGATTTCACCACAATGTACACCAACCTTCCTTATGACCGCATTTTGAATAATGTGGCAAAGGCT